GAGATAGGGAAAGGTGAAGGAAAGGGAGAGACAGATAAAGAGATTGAAAATGATCAAGATATGTTATATGCATTACTAATTTCTCAAAATTAACATCACTATTCTGTATAACAAACAAGTACTAATTAAAATAATAAAATACAAAATAGAGCTGAAAAACAGCACTAATATTCTAGCTGCAAAAATACCATAAAAATAATTTACATAAATTTAAATTCATCAAATGCTTTAAAAATTCACAAGTATTTCTAAAATCTGATTGATAATGGGCAGCAAAGAGAAAGTGGGTACAGTATTTCCATTCTGAGATATTTTACTTTGTATTTCAGTTACTCTGGTTGTGTGTATGTATACAGTAAAACCTTGTTCTGGGAGTGTTCTGCAAGATGAGCAAACATTTCTAATAAATTTTAACTTCATAAACAAGTGATGTTTTGGAATATGAGTAATGGGTGATGCTGAATGTCACATGATCACAACTGAGCCAGTGGTTCCCCACCTTATCTTGATGCTGGATTGTGGGTGATCATCTCCCAACAGCAAGAGGTTATGGAGGAGATATCATCTGCAAAGGAGGCGGGGGAAAAGAAGGGGAATCCTTTACTTCAAATGAGATTAGGGAGATGTATAAAATGTGGGAAATAGTGCAAAATTTTGTGGAAAATCACCACCTGAAAAAGGCTGTAGCAGTGCAAGCAATGAATCTATTTAATGACAATGGAATGTCACATTTCTGAAAAATCCTCAAAAGGAGGCCAAAGCAAGCATCATTAGATAGGTTCTTTGTTAAAGTTGCACAAAAAGAAAAATATTTCTTTGAGTCACTAGACAACAATGATTCTATCAGTGATAGTGAAAGTCATCCTACAAAGTAACCATCCCCTCTCTTATTTCCCTCACATCAGCTCCGAAGGTTTGCAAAAGTTAAGTGCAGGTTAATTTGTTTCTTTTTCTTTTGTATTTTCTTAATATCTCATATTATATTATAGTATTGTAATCATTTTATATGAATATTTTTGGGTTGTGGAACAAATCATCTGAATTTCCATTATTTCTTATGGGGAAATTTGCTTTCATATACAAGTGCTTTGGATTACAAGCATGTTTCCAGAAGAAATTAAGCTCGCAAACCAGGTTTTATTGTATATGTGTTTTGGCAATTTGTGTTCTCTTTTAGTTGATAAAATATAACAACTTCTTTGGATTAATTATGCAGGTACCACAATCATGTCCAAACTTTGCTCTCTGTTCTACAGGGTTTGAAATTTGGTAAGAACATTGTTTTTATCTTGACACTATGCACCAGCAAAATTATATTTGTATTATCCCCCCCAGAATGAATATGTCTAGCATCAATGGAGAGTCCTTTAATCAAAATTACAATTACATTCTCAATAATGGAAAATGTTTCAGTGTGGCAGAATAATTTTCAAAAGGCTTATTTACTTCCATCAATTGGATGAAAAACCCTCAACCCATTAGTGAGATTAGCTGATCTTTCATTTAGAGTGTCTGATGGCATTGATACAAAATTGACTTCATCCAAATGTTTGTCAAGATCATCTTCCAACAGTAGAGCCAACAATAATAGTAATCACACATTTTTTGCACATATGTTTGAAACTATAGAACCCAAAATGAGCAAAATTAATTTGGAAGAACAATCATTTCCCTTTGCATACTGAAATGTAAATATACTTTCTGGTGTACTGTGTTTTAGATGGTCATCTTTGCACATAGCTTTCTTCATAATTACTAGCTTACTTAATAATTACTAACTTGGTTAGATTTACAGCAAAAGTAAAAGCTTGTTGGTAGCATTTTAACAAGAATGCTCAGATTATCCTCCTGAAGAGGCTTGCTCCATCTCTATTTCCTGCACTTATTGCAAAGGTACCTAAGTTTGTAATTTTCTGTTTTCCACTTACTCTGCTGAATAGCATTCTGGAGACTTCACATGTATGGAAGGCTGCATTGAGATCACAACTGGAGAGGTCAATAAAGAGCTACCAGATATTTATTTTTTTACTGCCACCTGAGACAAAAGGAGTTGATGTTCTCCACGAATATGTGTCAAAGCCACTTTTTCAACTAGCGTTTTCCAAGCTTTCTTTGAAAGGAAGGACTTAGTTTAATTGCTCCAGGAAACAAAGAGATGAGTTACAGCTGGTTGTCTTTCAGTTTTTAACCTGTGTTAAGGAGAGGGCTCTTGGTTGAACATGAATCTCACATGCTATTAGACAAAGCCATTGCAGAAGCTGGAAATAACCAAGTGAAGATGTAACATCCTCACCACCGCCTATTTCAAGGCAATTCTTTTTTTTTTAATTCATTAAGTTTATTGGTACATTTTAGGTATACAATATGATGACATTCATCATTGGGAATTTGTACCTTTACATGATACATCTTGGTTCTTACTTTTTTCCCCCTTCCCCTGCCCTCCCTTCCACCCCTCTGGCCCTCCCTATTTACAAAGACTTTGTTTCCATTTTTTCACTTCAAGTCAATTCTTAAGAGGATGTCTTTAACAAGAAAAAAACCCAGAACAAATGCAAACCAGATGGAATGGCCAGCAGCAAGAGTAGCCAGTGCAGCCACAGGCAGAAGGGACACATTATTGCCCTACCAAGACCCTGTCTCAGTTCAGTGTGGGCACTGTAACCAATTGATGGGAGATGGGTCACAGGATGAAATTCCCAGGACCTCCTGAGATGCAAGAGAGTCTCTAAAGAGTTATCTACTTGGGTTTCACTTTACAATTTTTATCTTTGATAATTTTTTAATTGACCCATAAAAATTGTTCATATTTACAGAGTACAGTGAGGGAGTCCGATGCATATCTATACTGTGTAGTGATCAAATCAATGTAAATAGCATTTGCCTCTACTTAAACACATCATTTTGTGTGTGTAATGAGAAGCTTCACATTCCTCTCTTCTAATTCTTTCTGAAATACACAATAAATTAATGTGTACTTGGATTTATTCTGTTTGGAGGGAACAAATACTTCTCTATATTCTGAGTGCTTTTATGCAGTGCACAAGTGCTCTTCAGTATATCGCTGGTCTCCAGTGCTCTCCACTTGCTCTCTGGAGGATCCTGAATGACTGCCAGGCCACAGCAAAGGTGCTGTGTCCTAGGAGGCCAGGCGCTAGCACAGCCCTGCCCTTCTGCTCTATTAGCCAAGTTACTTTTCTGTTCCCACATCTGTCTGGGCCAAATTGCATTTGCTATTGAAATTACTTAATTAAAAATTGCAAAAAGTGATGAAATGTGATTCCAAAAAAAGAAAATCACAGTTTCTTTGAAAACTATACAGAATCTTCTAGAAAGACCCAACAAAGACAAGTCATTAAAAAGCTCACATTAAATGGGGCTAAAAACTACTGTTAAAATTGGTGTGAGAAGTTTCTTAAAACTACAGAAGAATCCTGCATTCAGGGTTCTTCCCACATTACCTTGGTTTTTGCTCTGCATTAAAGAAACTTAAACTGGAAATCACAGGTTGTAAACAACCTAATCATTGTAGTAATAAACGCATATACTGGGCTCTAAATAAAATTTTTTTTTTTTGGAACTGGGGATCAAACTCAGAACCTAGCGCTTGCAAGGCAGGTGCGGTGCCACTGAGCTAAATCCGCAGTCCCTAAAAATTTTTTTATGTAAAGATAAGGCCTCATTAAATTGCGCAGGCTGGGCTCAAATTTGTAATCTTCCTGCCTCAGCCTTCCTCAGTGCTAAATTACAGACTCACACTACCACACTTAGTAATCGTTAACTTTTATAATTACTGTAATTTATTTAATTAATTAATTCTTTCTTTTTAAAAAATATATTTATTGGTACATTTTAGGTATATAATATGTTTATATTTATCATTGGGTGCTTGTACCTGTACATGATGTATCTTAGTTCTTATATTTTCCCCATTACTGTGCACCCTTCACCCCCTCCACTCTTCCCTATTTACATAGATTTTGTTTCCATTTTTTTTCTTTTTTCATAATTTTTCCTTTCCCTTCCTCCTTTTCCCCTTTCCCTCCCACCACCCCTACACCTTTGGACCTTTTCTTCCTATTTCAAATTATATTTAATGAATTCTTTATTCTTAGACATTTGGATTTTTCAGATTCTCAAATTATAAATAAGATGCAGTGAACACTATTGCTTTATCTGCACATAAATCTTCATGCTTCCCGATAATCGTGTTACCACATGAATTTATCAAATCAACGGCTATGCAAAAGTTTGTAAGCGTTTCGTGTGTACTGTCAACCTCTTCAGGATATGTGCACTGCTTGATAATCAACTTGATGGCCCCATGATGAAAGCTGGTTATGAAATCAGGAAATGGTGAGTCAGGATTGACCCCAGGGTCTTTTGTGTTGGGATGTACCTGAATACATGTTCTGGACATTAGCTGGGTAGTAGAATATTATAAAGACCATTCATTAGCAAATAAAATTTGACACCTTTATTGTTCCTCTACTTTTAGTTTTAAATTTTGTTGGTCTCTTTCATCCATATGTCTAGAAGCAAATGTCCAGGTGAGGTACATAACCTAGTTTTAAATGTCTTTTCCTCCGACCATCATCAGTGAGCAGCTACTGAGTACTACGGAACAAGAACCTTCCCGGGACTCAAAGGTACTGAACCCCGGCACAGGCTCATTGGCTTTGGGCAGGACAGTCTGTAAGGGTCAGAAAATGGTGAGAACATGGGATCATAACCCAGTACAGGGTTCCCTGCTCTTCTTATTACTTACAGGAATTGCTTCATACTTTATTAAATGTTGGAGCACTTAAAGAAATAAAATCGCCTAACACAAAGATCCCCTTATAATTGCAAAATACATATTTCAGAAATTTAGAAAACAAAATAGAACTAAATCTATAAACCAAAAAGAAGCAAAACATCCCAGATACCAAGGTTTATAAACTATAAGTGGAAAAAGTCAGTGGTATGCTTTTAAAAAGGTATTTATTAAGCAACTGTTTGGTTATGGACACTCAAAAGAAGGAAAAGCAATGCCAAGTTTCAGGTACATGAGAACTACAGTAAACTTAAAAAAAACATTTAGGAAATCTTACAAGGAAAGAATAAAAAATCAAAATATCATAACATTTCTGACACATGATGGCAACATAAATCAACCAAGTACAGCATTAAGCTCTATACAGAATACACCTTACATCAGTGAAACAATACAATGTTTGGGTACATTTACAGGATAAATTGTTTTCTACTATACTAAACCTAAAGTGCTACAAGTGAAAAATATAAATGGTGGTGCCGTTTGAGCCAGAGACATGTTTTGGATTTGCTATGTTAAAACCTCAGGAAGTCACTCAAACTGTTCTTCCTCAATACTTTCTCTGAGGCTGGGGAAAGAGGAAGTTTTCTGGAAAGAACATATGTAAACATTTCAGCAGAACTTTCTGAGCATTTATATGATGCATGCTTTTTGAAGGTGTTAGTATTTTGCCAGTTTTGTGGGTAATTGGTAGTGCTAAGCAAACGTATATACAATAGTAAGCATAAAATAATAATTGAAATTCCAATAAATAGCCAAACAAGTTGGGGGGGGTCATAACCATGGTAGGCTTTTTTTCCTTAAGTATGAGAATTCTGTCCACCAAAATAGCTAGCTACTATCATCCTGCAAGAGTTTGACTTCAAAAAGAGAAACAAAAACAAACCTCATCCAAATCTTCCTCCTCATCTACTTTAAACTTAGATTATTGGCAGGAACCGACATGACTGAATTCGTTTATTCTGAATAAATAAGTCACGTTAGGAAGGAGCCTCTATCACCAACACATTGCTTTATATTGTTTGGACCAGCAGTTTATTTTCTGGTTAAAAAAATATTTATGTTATCAATTCACTGAAATAACATTTGTCACTAATCACTTAGGTTAATTATAGTCGTAACCATTCTGACTAGTGTTGCAATTTAAATTGCAAAGAAATCATAGGACTTATTAACTAAAGAACCATGTTAAACATGGTTTATCTTTTAATGACAGTATTTTTCAGTTATATTTTTTACAAGAGATACAGTGTTTCTGAAAATAGAACGATCTATTCTATTCACTTAGACATTGTCACTAGAAATGTTTATGTATGTAAATATGTATGTCACATTTTAAAGATGTACACACTTGCTTAAAAGACAAAAGAGTGTTTTTCAGGCACCAGTCTTGCAAAAAATCTCACAGTTTTGTTTTTTTAATATGAAATTCAAGTATGTGGATAAATGAAAAAGAAAAACATTAGCTAAAATTGTTAATGTTAAATAAAAGTTGCAAATTGTAATAACAGGGTTTTGATAAAAGCATTTGCATGAAAAAACTGGAATTTTAAGTCAAATTTTATTCCAACAACCTTCATTGCAATAAAAAGTTGACTATAAAGTGATATTTAAGATGTGGCACTAGAAGTGTTTCTAAATTTCATGACTACAAAGCCTCCTGTTTTAAATAACTCACAGCATAAATGTTTTCTTTAATTATTAGAAAATTAAAGTAACTGTTGCTCAGGCAAAAGTTATTTGCTGCAGAAAAAACAGCCCAATCCATGATATTGAGACAGTATAAAGTGGGGGAAAGGAAATGGTACATAACCAGGAAAATGGAAACACAGGAAGATTATTTTTAAAAAACTTACTTCCTTACTTTCCCTACATTAATGAGAATCCTTTAAAGTTTGCCTGCAAATTATACAGGTTCACCTAGGAACAGTCCAGTTGAAATTCATTTGGAGACAAATACACAACACGGCTGGATGAACAACCCTTTGAAACACTGGGGAGCCATTTGATACCATTCCAACTGGAGACGTTTACCTCTTAATTTAAAGATATTTATCAGTTAACTACAACAACATAACATTTAAATAATTGTGAGTTCACTAAGGATAAAGAAAATCATTGGCTTATTAAATAGCATACTTATACTAAATGTTTGTGAAATGACAGACTTAGAAACAATTTCTCTCAGAGTGATTTCCTCTTTTCCCTGAGTATTAAACAATATATGGAAAATAATAATATAAAGAAGTTACAATGTGTGAAGAAACAATGGTTTGAGAGGACAAATGCCAAGATCCCTTTCTCTAAATATATCCTTTGAGCTCCCAGACTGACCAGTGAAGGACAATGGTGGTCCTTGCTGAAAAAAAAGTATTCCCTCAAAATGAGTTAGGCCAAGACTACAGGCACACACCCACAAAAGAGGGGTATTGGCCAGCAAGGAAGATGAGCAGTTCATTAGAAGCTGGATTTGTTCTCATGGAGTTAAATGTATCAGTGTACTTTTTAAAAACAGTGATGTACTCCTAAGAATTAACTGAGTAATCAGCTTGTTAAAGTTCTGCATTTAGATCAAATAGATGGTGCAGTTCTAGTGTCCAAATGGATTTTAGAAGTATTTCTCCAGAGAAATAATTTTAATTATTATTGTCTTGATGTTTCCAAAATAAATTATATCAGTTAATTTTTTCACCATGATAATCTTTCCTTTTGGTGGATGAAAAATAATCATGGCAGTAATTTCCTAAAATGGCCTCATTAATTCCATAGTTAAAGCAATACATTTATGTAGAAACTGCTTATATGACTTAGTATTGCACAGGATTATAAAGAAATCAATTTTAGAACAGTATATTTAAATGCAAAGGACTGACTACATAGGGAGAGATGCCAATATAAATGAAAATCTTATCTTTCTAACCAAATGTACAATATTTAGTTGAAGCTACCTACTCCTTAATTATGATTAAGAGGGAGACTAGGTATTCAAGTAAACTTATGTATCAGATAAGCAGTGGAATGTAAACAACAAAACTAGTTTTCAGACAAGACATAGCATAGACATTTTGAAATAACTGACTGTGAGATTTACAAGGCTTGAATGTCAATAAGCAGTAGCATTTGTGATATTCTGAGTCTTTCACGTGGACCTGCCTTAACCATTTGAAACACTTCTGTGTTCATTCAGTGTCCTGTCATAATTATTCTTTCATTCACAAACCAGTCTTATAATTGGCTTAAGTACTTTTGTTAAGCCAAATAAGATGGTTTGGGAGTGTCTATGGTTTTTATGAAATATCATTTCCTGAATGCTTAATATGTAATTAGATATCTTTAAATGCATCTTATACATTCTATTCCATTCCATTCAAAGCATGAACAATAGGGCATTCAAGTGTGATTTTTAGAATTCATCATTCAAACTTCTGCAATGCCAATTCACTATAAAACAAGGTAAAGCGTATTTATTTTCAAACACTGTATATAAGATTGTTGATAATTTTGTATATACTCTAGACCTGCTCTGTTCAGTACAGTCACCTCTAAACACATTCGGCTGCTGAATACTTGAGATGTGCTTAATACAACTGAAGAACTGAGTGGTTAACTAATTCTAGGTTCAAAAATCTGTTTTAACTATGAGAATTTTTAACTTAAATTGTTGAATCTACACTTAAGTTGTTGAATCTACTTTTTTACTCTTAAACTTTATGAAATCTAAATACATCAGGTATTACTGATAAAACTTAATGTCCAGCTTGGCCATAAGTTGGGTGTTAAAAAGACTTACTGTGAAAAAAGAATGTCAAGCTCTCATTAATCATTTTATATTGATATTACTTATCTGCTTTGCACTGTGTCTCTTAGGCCGCACTACTCTTGAGCTTTTAAAAAATTGTTATGTTTTATAAATCGTGTTTTCAATTTTTTATTTCAATGTTATTCTTTTAGTTAAATAATTTTGATCGGTGTGGGAAAGCAAAATTTAAATCTACCCACCAAGCAGGACCCTAAATGCCCCCTCTGCAGCTCCCCCTTTCTCTGAATTGCAAAGTCCTCATGAGCACCAGCAGCAGAACATGAAATTATAGGCAGCGGGAATGCAGGAAGAGTGTATGAAGGAAGTGAAGGTGTGCAGTCGAATCAAACTGCTCATACCCTACAGGTTCTGTCTTTTATTTCCCCCAATGGCTTCTAGATCAGTGTGTCCCTAATCCCCATATTGACCTTCAGCTTCTTCCCAAGTCTGCTGTGCTATGGCTTCCATTTCGAATAATAAGCGATGACTGTGTTCAGCAATATGTTTGGTCATGTGTTAATGCTTGACTTTGTCCAGGCTCTAGAGCTTTCGTCTTTCAGAGTGGAGAGCTTTCTCTGGGAGAAGGATTCAAATCCCAGAAGTTTGAATACCGCCACTCTGTACTTCTTGGACATGATGTTGTACAGGATGGGATTGATGGCAGCACTGAGGTAGAAGAGGACAAATGACACCAGGTTGCAGTACTGGCTGATCTGAGCAATTTCCAGGGACCCAGGCTCAAAAGATTTGGAAAATAAATATCTTCCTACATGGAAGGGTAGCCAGCAGAGGATGAAAGCAAACACCACCACAGCTAAAAGGACAATGAGGAAAAGATCATCAGTTCAAGAAATGTGCAACAAAAAACATTCTATCTTTAATTACATATGCCGTGACCACTGAGAAACTCTATGTTCTGTTCTTGTCATAGAGCAATAGTAGGTTCTACTCTTGTCCATTCCTTAATTTTAACAAAGGTTGAGGCCTTCCAGAGCCACAGTTTGACAATTTTTACTGTTGTTTTAGTTCCAGTCATTTCTATTTAAGAATTTGTTTACTTATTTTGTGATTGAGGTGACACACCGACTCAACTGACAGCCAATTTGTTCACAATAATCCACCATTTTACATGTGTCAAACACAACACAAACATGTATGCATTAAAGTTGTATTCAACCATATTTGTGAACCAGAGTTTCCTGGGGCACTTTATTTCTAAGAAATGCAAATTTCTTGGGTACAACATAGATTTAGTAAATTAAAATGTACAAAAAGGAGATGAGGATATCTGCCTTCTCTCTCTCTTTCCCGCTGTCGCTCTTTCTCTTCTTTTTATTCTTTCTTACTGACTTCTTTTCCTTCCTTTCATTTTTTTTTTTTTGGTACTGGGGATCAAACTCTGGTCCTTGCGCTTCTGCAGCAGGCGGTGAAACCACTGAGCTAAATCCCCGGCCCTCATATTATTTTTTGTTATGGTCTTGCTAAGCTGCCCAAGCTGGCCTTGAACTTCTGGACTTTAAAAGGTATGTGCCATTACACCAATTTTTTTTTTTTTTTAGTTTTACAGATGATTCCATATGTAGTTAGGATTAAGAACCACTGAGATGGATGATTCTATATAATGTACAGTAGATATAAGTAAGATATGAAAGGTCAATCAATTGCTTATCATACAGCTAAGTTTTTACTTTGCCCATATATTTTTTAAAGACTTCTACGTTTTCAGATTAAATTTTTAAAATTCAAAAATTAGAGGTAGGATAATCAAAGTGTTTTAGCCCTGGTACCACACTCCTTTAAATTGTCAAGGAAGAAAATGAACATTGATGAGGAATTTAATGGGTTTAAAAATTGGAGGAAATTATTAAACTTACCCTCAAAACTAAGTCCCACAGTAACAATTTAACTGCCAAACAGCAGTGTGAACTCATATGCAAGAGTTTAGTCCCCTGGAGGACACAAATAGGTTTGCAATTTATGAGTCATACTGGAAGAGTCAGGGGTCTAGAAAATAAGATCTGACATTCCTTGAATGAACTGTATAATTTTAATATGCAGGATCTAGGAATTATAAAATTGTAAGTATGAAATCATTCTAGAATAACTTCTAAGAAACATTAAATATGTCAATAAATATGAAATGCTGATGACAATGTTCAAATAATAAAATATACACACTCTAGCTTTTAAAAAGTGAGTAGAATTAATATTTTGCTTGCATAAAATCACATTTGTATTACTTCATTTGTACCAAACATATCCTTAAAGAAGTTAATTTCATGCAATAAACATTCAGCACACTTCCCTTGTGGCCCTGCATACAGGTTTTCCTGGGGCCCATGAGAGGAGGGGTGGTTCTTCTAGCTTCCAGGGTCTACTTTTCTCCTGCTGGGGTTCTGCCTGTCCTAGCTTGTCCTGCCTTTCCATAGCCTATGCCACTCGGAGAGACAGGCAGTCACAAAAATAAATAAAAAGAGACCCAGCACTGATTTGACACTGACATTTTTAGGAAGCCACATTAGCAACAGCTGAATAAATAGAGTTGATGCAATTATCTGAAAAAAATTCAGGGGAAAAAAATCATAAGATTGAAATAAAATGAATACTCTAACAAAATCATGTTTTTAGGTACATTCACCATTGAATACTTTAGCCATCTAATGCCTGCTTTTCTTAATGCAACTTTCTATCCACGAACTCAATTTGAGGTACGAAGCTTAACTTCTTCACCTTTAGCGCGCGTAAGAGACCACAAGACTTTCATAAAATATCTTAGTTTCGAAGCAAGTTTTTGGGGTCATATAAAATTCATTTGGGGGAAATAAAACCATCATGGAGAGAAAGAAGATAGAGGAAGAGACCCAGAGAGGCTAAAGATATCAAATGAAGGAGGGGGGGG